AGTTACTGAGACTTGCAAACGAATAATAATCGTAAAGGAGTACACAAAAAAACAGAAACGTCTCAAACGTCGTAGTCAAGACTGATGAATATAACTGTGTCAAAAATTTTTTTCATATAAATTAAGGGAATTGGTACGAGAAAAAGTAATATTCCCAATAAAAATAGTTAGTTAAGGAAGTATATGAGATTATGAGAATTAAAGTATTTTATAAGGAAAAATCGGTTGAGAGATTTTATTTGAAACCTCTCTTTCCGACTATGTTTTCTCAGTATCTTGATGAGAAATTTGATAAAAGTGATGGTCTAGCTTCAATTGACTCATGATTTCAATCAGTGAAATTTCTAAAATTTCCACAAAAACCCTTCTGATAAAAGCATAATATACTGACGAACATGAGTGGATTATCAGCCAGTTAAGAAACGCTGCCTGGTTATAAAACAATTAGCAGTACAAAGAAATAAACTAACAGTGGTATAATAGCTTTGATTTGAATAATTAACTTAAATGTTAAACTACTCCTCATAGAATAAGAAAATGGTTCAATATACATATTAACAGTCCAGCTAATGTTTTTTACTTAGGGTTATCTTTCCACAGAGTTTTGGTCACTAAATGAAATCATTTATATTTCATAAAGGTTTGGATTAGGTATTAAGAGTTCTGTTGAGATTTTGAGTTAATCTAACAAACAAAGGTAAGGGTTTCCATCATGAACTAGCATCAGCTATAATGCAATCCTTGCCAATTTTCTTTTCACAACTTTAAGAAACTTAGGATTGAGATTTAGAAGAATATTACCTAGCTTCGCTAAACACTCCTAAATATGCATTAAATAACATCTAGTAATTTAGCACACAATCTGCCTTAGGAGCAGGTATGTTGTGTAATTTATCTTAGGCAACACTTAAAATTCACTTTTTGGTTGCATAATAGATTTCAAGCATTTTTAGAATCGATTATTGTCAATTATCACTGAGTATTTTCTTAATTCTAATTGGTCAACTCAACGTCGTCATTATGCTATACTTGTACCATAAATTTTAAAATGATTATGAATAAAATAGTAGGGATTGATCTAGACGTTATTGGAATGTGTACGCAGTTTGTCTAGCTAAGCACTTTCTTTCCCCGACATATGGCATACCAGAAAACAAATTATCTTTGTCTGTAACAACGCTTGAGTTTAAATCTAAATTAGTGATAGCATGATCATTAGAGCTCATTGTTTTCAAAAGTAATCACTGAATAAATTGTTGTCTTATTTATTCATCTTATAACATAATAACTGATGTTATTTTTAAAAATCAATATTTTCTGGAGTGGTTTGAAGGGGAGGAACATTATGAACCAGATTTTTGTATCATGAATAAAATAAACAGAATTTGGCAAAGAAACCTTTTCCTTTTGATGAAATCATTTATCAAACTGTACATTCGTATTTATAGTTATAAAATACATCTCTATAGAAGGATAGAAAGATTGCATCATAAATTGATTCGAGACTTTTATTATTCGACAGTAACTTAACATAGATATCATCCGGAAAAAACATCAACATTACAAAAGGAAACTCTTTTTATGAATATGAAATTTAAAAGGATACCGGCTTCTAAAATCTTGAATGACGAATTCATAATCGATGATAAAACATTCTACTCAGCTAATCTCTGAATTGTTTTCTCAAGCCGACTTACCATTCACGGATGTCTTAATGATAAACTTTCGCTTTGGGTCAAATCAATGTGCATCTATATATTACTTGCTCATGTGGGTAAAGTTACATTGACCGCACAAAACATCACTTTCTAAATGCTCTCAGAACACTACCCGGCATGATTTTTAAAGGCGAATGCAAAACAATACTAGTTCACTATAAAAGCTTTAATCACTATGGACATATTGCTCCAAAGGATCTTCTTCAAAGTAATTATCAAGTCAAAAGAATGGATCAAAGTGAATTCGAATCAAAATCTTATGCCTATTGAGGTATGGAAATCCACCAACTCAAACCCGAACTCATGTATAAAACGATACATCCAACCTCTCATCCATCCTTGGCTCTAATTACCTTTTCTAGTATGTTTCGATTTTTTTCCATGTCTTTTTTCATCTTTTATTTTTCTTGTTATTATTGATTTTTTAAATTAGTATTTTGTAATGTTAAACTGTCATCCGTTATTATTACCTTTTAAACAAGTTTTCTCAATTGTTATCCAGTTTTTATTAATGACCTTTATGTTTGTCACTTTTCTTCAATATCTGTCAATGAAACAATTATCTTTCATAATTCTGACCTATAAATTATTTTTATCCTTATATTCTTCTTTTTTACTCCTTGATTATTGAGTAACTTAATTTGATAATAAGAGTCTTGAATCAATTTATGATGCAATCTTTACTGGGATGCTAGAAAAGATTTGTAGCTCAGGTGGATAATTTTGATGGAGTTTTGTGCTCTGACGAAACCATCCAGCTCAGAGGACAAAACTCTATCGTAATCGTTTCTATCCTTCTATAGACATATATGCGCTGAAAGTGGATAGGACACACGAATTGAGGAAAGCACCCAACTGAGTCACAAGACAAGCCTTCACATGGAATCCTCAAGGTCAAAGGAAAAGAGGAAGACCAAACAACACATGACACCAAGAAATGGAGACAGACATGAGAAAAATGAACAACAATTGGATCGAACTAGAAAGGAAGGTCCAGAGTAGATTGGATTGAAGAATGCTGGTCGGCGGCTTATGCTCCATTGGGAGTAACAGGCCTATCAAAGAAAAAAAGTCATAGACATATATTTTCCATATAACTATAAATACAAATGTACAACATAAGTAAATGATTTCATTGTATCACCGGTATTCATGCCTAAAATATTGTCTTTGTCCAGCTGAAATACATAAATATTTCTTTCATAAAACCAAAAGAATATCTTTCTTTTGAGATCGACAATTACATAATCACAAATTGTATTTATATTTTGCCTCTTTACAATGACAAATCATTGGATACATATCAGTACAATGTTATTCATTTAATGATTAGGATTAAAATATTTATTACCTTTAACAATATACCATCATTTCATTCATACCATTACACCAAAATTAATTTTATTATCTATATAGATACTACTCATATTATTCATTTCTAAGTTATTATCATGTTGAATGTATCAATTTCATTACATAAACTAAAAACAAAACGAAATACAAGTTATTTTATTTACACTAACCGAATGTATTAAGTTGTAGTCGATGTATCAAATTGTAAGTTAAAAGTCTTATTTATTTCATTTACATTTCTTAACAGTTAAAATTGAAGAATTTAATTTTATTTATTTAAAATGTTAATTTTTCAATAAGATCAGCTGATGAAGTTGTGAATCTTCATTGACTGAAATGGTTAGGCCATGTGTTACATATGCCTGAACACCGATTAACACGACGCATAATGCTGATTAGTGTAAGGGATAATTGGAAGAGAGTTAGTGGCGGACAAACCAAAACTTTGCACCAGTGCTTGAAGTCATTAACTTCTGGTCTGAGCCCTGTTGGTAGATTCAGACTACTTCGTTGTGATTTGTGCGACTATCATAACCAGTAGTGGTTGGAGACTCTAGGTGACATGGCTCAGAATCGATCATAATGACTTAAATGTATACACACTCTGACTTCCCTTAAACTATAAGATTGAAAACGATTCATATTTTTCTTTATTCTTGTACTATGTCCTTATATGCAATCTTTCTTATATATATTACCACCACTGAATTAACTACTTTTATGAATCCGGTGTTCATCTTGTTGTGCTAATGAGGTGTGGCAACTTGGACCGATGCACATATGTGCCTGGTCCTATGTTGTAGCTGACTGACTGATATGGTTTGATTCATTTCATTTATTCATATAAAATAACCTGAGGCTCTTTGTTTAATTTAATATAGAATTATGTTATTTAAATCCATATATTCTTTTTGATAAATACCACATTTTTAAGATTGTTCATCTGAAGACTATTCCTGATTTGATCTGAACGCCCGGGTAGTATCACAGCCTTCATACATATATCAATGATAACTGCTACTAGTCTCATTGTTATTGTGTGGTGCATATGTATTTGATGTCCCCTTGTACCGATGTTTATGTGTTCAAATATATATATATGTATAGTCCACGACTCGATCTAAGCTAGACCACCACTGTAAAATTGGAAGAAAGGTTGTACAAAATCATGTTACAATTGAAGTTAGATGTTAACACCGTTGGATACCGGCCGGATCAGTGGCTTAAAAGTTAGGCGTTCGCGCGTCAACTCGAAGGTCCTGGGTTCGAGTCCTTTTGGCGTGGGATCATGGATGCATGCTGCTGAAGAGTCTCATACTAAAACGAAACGGCCATCCAGTGCTTTCAGGTTTTCCATGGTGGTCTAACTTCTATTAACTCATGAATTCAACTATTAAAAATCACTACAATCTCCACAAAACCTCTTTCTGAAAATAATTTCCTTATTACACCAAGTATACACTTATTTATCTTGAAATATGTGTATAATTAAAACAAAATTTATGAAATTCTTAGAGATTTGTTGATTAATATATATTTTTTTAGATACCGATCAATAAAGAAATTCTACATGTTTGTTTTGTTCAACTAGGAATGTCTGTTTCATTGTTGAATTTCAACATGAAAATTATCTACACATAAATCCTAATTGGTTGGTTGTCTACTAAATTTATGTTGAGTTGAAAAGTTTCCTGAAGTGATGAAACCAATTTAGTTATTATGTTCTTGCTGTGTTTTTTTCTAATTGTGTTGACTTATGTTAATTGAACTGGCCTAATAAACTTATTCATCGCTTACTTTCGGCTTAGGTTCTATGAATACGTTGTGAATAACTTCACATCATATTTAAACTGTTCTTAAAACATAATACATAATATTTGGTCAAATGTCAGTCTTCAGTATATGTATCCTTTTTATATTTCTTTTTAGATATTATTTACAAAATATTCAACTAATATGATTAACTATTGGTTTCAACCCTTCTGTTGTATGATTGTTGGATTTCTAATATTAACCAGTTATATTAATTGTATGGACTCTAATGATGATCCTTCAGATATCAGTGCAGATAAACGTTTTCTGTTAGCTTTACCAACACCTAAAAGGTTAAGCCAACCTTCATATACATTTAACCGTTACAGACGTCCAATGTATGGCTATGGCTATAGACCAGATTATATTGATTCTGATGAAGATTTAGTCAATGAAGATAAAAGATTTCTACTTGGTCTACCGCCTAAAGTTGAATATAAACGTTTTCTACTTGGTTTACCACCATCACATAGACAACATAAAAGGTTCATTTTAGGGCTACCAGCACCAACTAGATTTCATTCATAAACGAAGATAGTTTTAAACACGTGAATGTCTACACACATATGCAAACGAAAAATGTTACCATACATCTATTTATTCATTATTTAACATGTCTGAATAATAAATTATAAAAATGAAGTTTTGTTTTATATAAATGGTAAATATCATTTTCAGTATAGGGTTGTGGAGATTTTTGAATTTCTTTAAAATAATAAACCGGTCATGAGAAACCATGGCTAATGAAACTAATCTGCGTCAGGTGTGAGGAAACTACCTCCAAAGACGATGGAAGATGGTCGCGCAATGTTGTGGATTCACTAGAGTTGGACATTAATATCGTTGGATGTCGGTTCAATGGTCTAGAGGTTAAACGTTTGTGTGAGAGGTTTCGCTTGCGGAGTTGTGGGTTTCCACTGCTGAGGATTCCCATACTAGGACGAAACGGCCTTCCAATACTTCCAGTTTTTTAATGGTTGCCTAACTTAGATCAGTTTATGATTCCAACGAAATATCACATATCTTGCATTTATCAATTCTATTAGTTGGTTTTCTTAATAGATTTGGATAGTATGAAAATATAATGACGCTATGCAGCATAGTAGTGCGTGAATCACAGTGACCGATAAATTAACTTGTTACTTTTTAAGCAATCCCAAGTTTGATAATAGTAACAATAAAATATAAACAGAAAGTTTTCTGACAAGTTACTTTTATGGTCTGAAACGATATATTTTTTGAGAAATATACTGAAAAACCCTGTTTACTAGATAAATCAAAACATTAGTTATTTATTCAAGTTTGTTATTTAGTCACGCACTGAATCAGTCCACCAAAGTATACCACTAATACGATTCAAATTTATCCAGCCTAGGACTTGTTTTCTTAAATAAGAATTAATAGTTTTCATATTCACCAACGAGTTTGATAAAATACGTAGATAAAGAAACGAGTTGACATTGTATTATAACAGTTACTGAACAAAAACTAACAGACTATGAGTCTTTTAGCGATTTGTATCAGGAGCAGTTAAGATAGTTTTTAAGTAGGAAAGCATGTAAATACTTTTGCTAGTAGTTTAACAGACTGGAGGAATAAAGAGGTTTGATAATAAGATTTCGATGGAGGATTTATCATATATCCGCTCCGCCGAAGCTATTTTCACGATAAGAGTTACTGAATTCAGAACAATTATTCATTCCTACTGTGGTAGACGCTACTCTCGAAATTGCTTGTAAGTAGTATGTAGCGGTGTGTGGCGTCAACGTCGTCATACCCGTCAGACGGAAAGAAGAGTTTCAATAAATCCTAACCACAAGGTAACCAAAAAGCTTGAAAGCCAATGGAGAAAATAGCTTGAATTGCAGAACACACTCCAAGATGCAGGTGGATGATCGAAGACTGTATACAAGTACTGAGTATGTCCTCTATATATTGCAGTAAGCGAATTCGCCAGCTTATTTATTAGTGATAGGTAATAAGACTATAATTAAGTTGATTGTGCAAAACTGGACTGAAATAATGGCAGTATTAGATTAACACGAGATTATGACCTATTTGTGATGGAATTGGATTTATGGTGACGTTGGCAAGAGAATATCTAGCAACCGCATTGTAGTGCGATATATCCAGAGCCGAGTCAGACTGATCAAATCCACAGTGTATTGAAATGATTTCAAACCGTCCACTGTGTCAATCATTCAACACGTCCTAAGTATTTATGGATCAATATAGCAATGGAATATGGCAAACAGATAGATAGAAAACATGAGAATATTGAGAAGTTCCTCGTAATAATCATCTAAACAAATTGCAATCCTAAGCACAAGTTAACCAATAGAAGTGAACTCATACATTTTACCGTCACATGCTCTGTTAGGCACCATATTCCAAGATGAAGAAACAAATATATTCATTTAGTATGTCTGTATTAGATACCATAATATGTTAAGTTCAAATGAGCTGAACGGGGATTTTGTGACGGTCTAACTTACATCAACTCACACTGCGCAATAAATATTCAGTCTAGGTTTCCTTATTGTGATGCTCAAATAGTAGTGAATCTTTGAAATTCCTACAGAATAAATAGATTCTTATGACATGGACATTTTATTCAGATGTGAAGAGAATGAAGGAGTGCGTGTGGAACCATCACTGGCATTTCCTAACATCTTGTATTACACTGAGCTGTCCATGATAGTCATCCTTGACTTAGACCATATCCAGTAAACTGTTTAAATTTCACCGATCAATCCTTTAATGTAGAAACGGTCTGCTTGTTTTGAGATTTGGTTATGTCTAAGTGATATTTCACTGCCCGAGCGGTATGCAAGCTACTTTTAAGTCCAGTAAAAGCATAGTCAACATAAGTGCCAAATACTTACTATGTCATTTATTTTGAGGGAACGTTAATCTCTACCAGAGCTCAGTCAAACCCCTCAGCATGTCTTTAGTTAGTTGTACTGACAGTTAACACTAACAACACTGCAAGTGGATAGTCGGAGCGTTTAATTCCAAAAATATTAAACTGATATAAAAGAGGATCTAATAAAAGAAAAAAGTTTCATAAAGTGTTTGAGTGCCCCAGTATCAAAGAACATGGATAAGTCAAAATATAAAATGGCTATGATGTAGATGCTTTACTGACGAACAACAATCAACACTTAGAGTGCATCCCTGAGTTTGTCAGCTAATTCCTGGGACCTAAACGAACGAAGAACCAGGGAATACAACTTTATCACAAGTCTTAAGCCCGTGCAAACAATAATCAGAACTTTCACTTGTAATTGATATGCTCCACTCTGTCTTCCTGTCCAGCGACAATCTTCAAATATGTAACAGTCAATAGAAAATAGCACAAAAATATTTATCCAAAATCAATAAGTGAGAGTCATAAAGCCGAATTGTGGTGAATAAAAAACCGGAAAATCCTATGGTGCAATTTTCTAGATACTTTGCTTTCACTTTTATTCGAGTAAAGTAAACGAAGGACATCAAGTGCAAAATAGCACATAATTGTCAAGGCTAATTATAAAAGGTATAATAAGTATAAGTAATTCAAGGCCTTCCCTGTTTTACTTTTAGTTTTCTTTCTTTCAAGGGAAATTCTATTAAAACGAACATTACCTTCACTTATAGTGACTAAACACCATCAGTTCTAGATCGATAGAGCGTTCATACAAAGCCACTGATATGACACAGGTATTCAGTGTTTGACAACGCTTCTACCAGTGACACCTAATATAATTCGTAACCACCCAGAGAAATCAAAAGACAGAGTCGAGGAGATCGGAAGAGTGCGGATGCCTGACCGAGCGCCTTCAGCTAGATGAGTCCACTAAAACATATGGTCAGCATCCAATGTCGAAAACTTACAGGGCTATTTATTTTAGGGATTTATTTACTGCTACAACACAAACCCAATGGAGAAATCCAAAGCCGTAGATCATGAACTGCTGGATTTGTAGTGTAGCGGTAAATAAATCGTCGAAATCAATGGCTCTGTAAGCCTTTGACATTTGATGCTAACCACATTAGTTCTAATGGACTCAACTAGCTGAAGGCGCTCGACTATGCGCCCTCATCAGATCACGAGTGTGGACGCTGTGCTCAACTTCTCCTACAACCGCTAGTCAGTTTATTTATGACTACAACCCACTCATCCCTACTAGTGGGGTCGCGAAGACCTTGAGATGCGACCAGCCAGAATATTACACCCAACTGGTTTGCCACTGGTAAACACCTCTGAGACTTCGCAATGTCCAGCAGAATTCTGTGATCTTCCTCCAATATAAGGAGCAATGCGGTAAGACATAGTGATAAGAAATGTAACGTTAAGATCTAGATCCATTATATTCTTCATCGGTTTTTCATCCTTTCTTATCGTCCTGGAGAAAAACGTTAAGATGTGAGTGCAGGTGAAAATAAACCTTCAGACCACTAAAGAAGATGACCTCTGTTGAATGACTGGAGGCCCTCTAGAGTTTGACGGGAATGGTGTGACCAAACAACTAACGTCGAAGTCACACCTCAGGGTTAGTACCTAACGTGGATCGCCTCTTCGTCGTACCCAGGTACCACGACTATACAACATAAATAACGTCACTACAGGAATATATTGCTAAGATTAGGTACAAGAAACAGACTACAATTACTGCTGCATAAGCCACTCCTTGGCGTGGGATCGACTGACGAGTGTTGGTTGACCTTGAAGACATTATGTTACTAGACTACTGGATGATTTGGCTAGAGCCCTGTGACATTTCACTGACCCTACAAACTCATTTTTGCGTTATAAAGAAAGACGTTAGAAAAAGAAGACAAATATGCTGTGAGAACTAAAATTATTTAACTGATCAAAAAACGTTGCATGGAATACCATTAATATCACTGCGTTTTTGGATATATTTGCTTTTCTCGACTTTTGAACTTAAGTGTTTATAAATTTGATATCGGGCACTTTTGGTTTAGATTTACGTGTGGACTTTGGTACCTGAGCTGGAATTTGGTTCTCCTGTTGGTTAGGTTGTAGGTTACGAATGGATCAATCAACCCTGATTCAATAACAGACCATAACAAAATCTGAATGTAACATAAAAGTTCTTCAATTTAGTTTTTAGGATCACATTTTGAACCTTGGTTAGACGTTTTACTTTAAGATCAATTTCCAAATCTAGTTGCCCATTTCATTAGGTTACTTATGGAGTAATTGGAATTTGTGTGAAACGGAGGTAACTATGGAAGCGAGGAACATAAGCTCAAAAGTGAGCTTCTCAAAGCTGTTTCTGGTCGGGATGGTGGAAGCATCTGGAAGGTACCATTTTTTTCCAGATACCGAAGCTACCAAGTAGGAATCTCGACTAGATGTGTTGTATTTTGTTATTGGTTTATGTTCCTGGGAATTATCACGTAACAACATCATCATCTAGAATATTGAATCCTATGGTCCCGTCCTAGTGTCAAGCAAATGACACGCCAGTCTGAACTATTCACTTGTCCAAGATTAGGAGCTGTGCATTTGGCCGTGACATATAGTTTTATAACTGACTAGCTTATCATTAAGATAATGTAGCGTATCAGTA